GTCGCTTCTCTACCAGGCTGCGGGCATCTGGCAACCCTGTAAATGCCTGGTCCGCCGAGTTTGTTGGGCTGACTGTCTTCGTGTCAGTGCTGTTTCATCATGAAGCCCAAGAGGCACGACATCATGATCCCAACGGCTTCTGTGTGCTGAAGGATGTCTGCCGGAGGATGCGAGCTTGTCTTTTGTAAGCAAATGCACTAGGCCTCACATTGGCAACTCCGGGACATTGCCGGGTATCGATGGGGTATCGACAGGGGTATCGTTCTGGGCGTGTGTCAAGTTGCGGAAAACTTTCACATTGCTATATGCTATTAGAGCAAAGCAAGCACACAATAGCCTTCTCTGCCTTGCGGTAGTCATGTGATCAGCGGACTAAACTATCCTTGTCTGCTCCCAAGTGTTGGTGAAGGGTCGCGCGGCCTCGCGCTTGGGCCCAGCCATCGGTTTAGGCGGTTTTGCTTGCTGGCTGCAACTTCCAGGTCGCAAGTCGCAACTTTCAGTACAAGCGCGGTACACAAGTTACACTTCGGCAGCTCCAGCTCGAAGGTTGCAGCTTGCGCCGGGCTTGTGAGCCGCTCACGCCGCTCAACGCTCCACATTGCTTGCAAGCAGAATGACACTTGAGACGTGAATGAATGCATCATGTTCACAAACCATGTTCAGAGGGGTATCGTTTTTAGTGAGTCCCCTATCGTTCTCCAAGGAAAATGCAAAAAAGCAGTCTTGAATGAAACGCTGTTGATAAAGTGGTCTTTGATAATTCTGAAGTTGACTCATATCGTGGTTCTTTGCTCTCTCTCCCTCTCTCCCTCTCCCTCTCCCCCTCTCTCTCTCTCTCTCTCTCTCTCTCTCTCTCTCTCTCTCTCTCTCTCTCTCTCTCTCTCTCCCCCTCCTGTCCGTCACTTGTAGACTAAGCAAGTACAAACACTACGAAGCTTTCAGACACGGGCTCGACTAAAACTCAACACGAATCCTATTGAGACTCTGGATTCACCGCCAGTCAAAACAAGCAGTTTCCTTAGCATACTGGCATACCGCAGCATACCCATCGACCATATTCATGCAGGTTCTGTATCAAGCTTCGTCGACCTAGCTCAGCCCCCCTGCCTTGAGGGGGGATGGATTGTAAGATTGCAATGGGATTCTCCTACCCATCGCCAATTAAAGGTGGGGATGTCGACCTTACCAAAACTCACTTGCCCAAAGACCTGGATGCAACAGGTGAACCTCAGAAAACCTGGACGCGATATGGACCCACACAGGGAAACAAACAAGTCACATCCGGTCAGCGGAAGGGCGGATCTCTGCACCTGAGGCCGGGGATTCCAAACCACCCTACTCCAACCCCCAGTTTTCGCGAGGCAATTTGTTTGTTTCGCATGGCAAACCCCGCAGTTTAGTAAGAGGGTTGACATCATACCCTGATAATTAACAAAAAAAAGGTAGTTGGAGAAGGGGGCAACAATGAACACCAATCGGTGTTCAGCTAGAGCCATGTACCACTTCCCGCATGTTTAAAGGGCAGAAGCCCACAGCGATTCATATTGCGGCCGTCAACCTGAGGTTGCCCGAATTTTGGATTGGCCCATCCTACGACAAGGCAACATCTGCTTGGCTTCAGTTGGTGGGAGCCTCAGGAGCGGGAATCGCTTGCCGTGCCGCCTGATGATGAAGAGCCGGCAGATCAGCTCCGCTGCAAAGACCCAGGTGAAGACATGCTCCATGACCTGAAGACGCAGGGGGCCGGGCGGCCGGAGGGCGGCTCCAAGAAACGCCGTGATTTAGAGGGGTCTCCTTTTGGCTCCGTACCTCTCCTTGATTTGGAGAGGATCCGTGAACAAAAAACAACTGAAAACAGTTGAGGGCTCGACCTGGGTACGATTTAGTACCAAGGGTGGGGCCCATGTTATGTGACCTGCACATCTGCTGGACTAAGGTGCAATTCGGTTTATCACCAACAAAAAGCATGGTAGACCTGCCGAACAAAGCTGACACGATAACAGGGCTGACTTGTTCTTTGGCGCTAAAGCGGTCCGTCCAGGAACTCCAGAAGTGAGCCTTCCCCATTCGCCCAGTTCTCCTTGGATCACTCCTTTCCACTCATTGCACTGGAGCCACTTCTGCATCCACGGGCTCAAGGGGCCAACTGTTGCCGCAACTTACGTTCCAAGGACCTACCCGCGAAATCCGCACCAAGATCCATGGCAAGGCCTGCTCAACAATCGACTTCCTTACGTTCAAGGAGCAGGCCGTCACGCGGCACCTCATACTCTGGGACACTCTCATCTGGCTGCGCAAACGCTGGTCATGGAAGAAGTCAAACAAGCACACCGAGCAGACACTGGTCTGGCTAAGTAGGGAGTTGCAACATTGGGCATTTTGGAAAGGCAGGAAAGGTCAGTCGCCTTTGGTGGCTTCCTGGGACCTGTTCTATATGCGGATTTTTTTGGGCGAGTTGGCTTCTGCACTCAGCGCCGCGCCGTGAAGAAAGGGGCGTTGGCACAGTTCATTGTCGGATTGATCGCGATGCTTGCCTCAGAAAGTCGGAGGCTTCGATGTGTTGCGAGAGGTTTGTGCTTTTTGGAGGGTGCCCGTTTTCACCTTGGTTTGAAGGGGACCGTTCTTGAGGCTACCCGTTTTCACCGATCGTTTCGTTTTGGAAACCCATGGGATCCCTGTTTTGACGTTCGCACTGGACTTAAATTCTACTTCAGGGCTGTCTCGCGAGGGGAGCCGCATAGGTGACTTTCCAAAGGGGAAAACGTGGCTTGGCACACACGGGGGTTGTGGCGGGCTCGCCAGTCAGAGCTTCGACTTGACTCACAGATTGGAACCGCGCGAGCTCGTTTTACCAAGGGCTCACCATAAAATGACGTCCCCTTCCAAACAGGTAAACAACAAGAAGTATCCAAAACACGTGAACCACCCTCCATGACCAACAGTAGCTTTGCCTTACTACAAGAACCATCTACAAAAAATGTGTTTTTTGGGAATCGATTTGGCGCCACTCATGTTACTCTACAGGAGCAGTCTGGGTTTGGGTTTTTGCCAAGCTGCACCAGCCTCGTGACCCAAGCACTCCAGTTCCATAGCCATCACCGCGGCGTTCCTGGATGCAGGAACATCCGGGGTACAGAAGGATGGAGAAATAGGGGTAGCTGAAAAATATAGGGGTGCGGAAGTTAAAAATATGAGACGCGGGGGAAAAGACAGGGAAAGAAGCTCACTTCTTCAGGAATATTGGGCCAAACCGGAAATGCCACAAGATGATCCGTGGACTGTGGCCAAGTCAATTCTGATTCGACGAGTTGCCCAGCCGGACAAGCCACCAAAGGGTCGAAATGGAATGAAATGGGTTCGGTTTGCTTTGGAGTATGTTTTAAATTTGGGATTCATGTGAATGACCACCAAGCATTTTGGAGCGCGCTCACCCCGTCACGCATTCAGATCATGTCCATCGGTGGAGAACGCTGGGCCGGTCGACCAACGCTCGACGGATGCATGAATTATTGAACCCGTGAACATGAGTGCATAGTTAGAAGGTTGATTAGTCAAGCGATGTTACCATGAGGCTTTGACTACGGGGTTTCCCGGCCACAGCGTTTTTGTTTTGTTTTTCCCCTGTTTTTTGTTGTTTTTTCTTGGGGGGGGGGAGGCCACCCACAAACTAGCAACCGGGTGCGCTAACCGAGGGGCACTAAGACCAGGAGCCCCATGAGGAAGTCGGTCCAGGTGCTCTCCTGGGCTCGCGTGCCATGCGTGCCGCGCCCCTGCGGCTCGGGAAACACATGGGGTTTCCTCTCTGTTTCCCCAACACTTCTCACTGGCTGAGTGGATGGCCAAAAAAGTCCAAACTTTGTATTTACCACTAAAAAGGTCTTCCCAAAAAAGGTTAAAGTTCGTGAACTCAGAAAGTGACAGTGAACCAACAAATCCACCCGACATCCGAAATGGCGCCGCATGATTCGAACTTGGATACCTCGGAAGCCGCGTTTCGATTCTCCTCACGGGAAACCAGCTGTGGGATTTGGCTTGTCAGCTTCGTGGTTTGGATAGGTGAGTTGATGTGATTTGGAGTGGCTCCCCATTTGAAGAACCTAGGGTTCAAATCCAAATCCCCACCAATTGCGTGTGTCTGTTTTCAGGGGACCCCCCAAAATGGATTTCGGTTGTCCTGTTTGTCTCCCTTAAAAAAAACACCCAAACAGGGGTACCACCAAAAGAAAACACAATCGTGGGTAGCTTTTCCGGGCGTGTCGTCTACCCCAAAATGGATTGCGGGCTTCCTGTTGGTTTCACATTCAACCCCCCCCCCCCCAATTGTTTTTTTGTTGGGGGGGGTCGCCTTTTTGGTGAAACCGTTTTGGTGTTTTGTAGGGTGATTCCGGTACCGCTTTCCCCTTGCGAGGTGCGATGACCCCGAGGATCTTCTTGGACTTGGACTGGAGGTCCTCCGCGTCCTCGCGGCTCCTGCGAGCCGACGCTCGAGGCGGAGTCGGGCGCAGTCGGAGGCGGACCGGTGGGAGACACCCGAAGAAAAAACACAAACAAAAAAACGGCTCCGGGAAGATGGTTGGGTGGGTTGGGTTGGGTTGGGTTTGGTTGGGTTGGGTTGGGTTGGGTTGGGCTGGTTGGGTTGTTGCATGATTGACTGCTCGGAAAATCCCGCAAGCCTCAATTGGGGGTTTGGATTGGTGGTTTAGATTTGGAGTTGAACTCCCGGTACTTGTACAGAGTAAAACCACCCCTAACTATCAAACCACCAATCCAAAGCACCACATAGAAAACTGAGAAAACAGGTGCCCAAGAAGTAAAGAAACATTCGTCCACTATATACAAGCAAAACGGCATATATACAGAAATGTGTATATATATATATATATTATATGCTTCTTGTCTGACTCATCCTCGGAGCACCCCGAGAACTGCGCACCGTACTCACACATGGTTCCCCTTGTGTAAATCATTTACCAAAATTCGGTGAATGGCCGACAACGGAGGCTCGCTAGCACCTAGCATTCGAAAATCCATAACCCAGAGGACTCGTCCGAGTCCTAGTGTTGCCCTACCCGGCTAAGCCCGGAGCTGCCAGCGACACCACGGGGAAGAGTTGGGCTATACACAGGCCATAGCGGCACCCGCTTTTCTCCGGGTCTCGGTGGTTTGGAGTGGAAACCAATGGAAGGCATCGTCAAGCTGCTAGCCATCCAATTCCAGTCGCAACTCCCTGGTTCGCCTAAGGGGAAGGGCATGAAGGAAGGGGGCCCAAGTATGAAACACAATCAAGGTGAACTTCTGAAGTTCTTCCCTTGGTCCAAGTCGGGGCTCTGAGAACCTGGAAAGGCAAACTGAACCAAAGAACTCAAATTTGGGGGTCTCAAAGTGTTGGGACCCACATGGTTGGTTTCCTCTTGGCTGCCTGTTAAACAAGAAATCGGATGTACCCCAATGGTAAGTGGTCCGTTATTCTCACTTTCCAAGGGAGCAATTTAAAAGGTATGCGCCTACTGCCCTTGCAATGAAGCAAAAGAGGCAACCAAAAGGTCGCAAAATTGGCTTTGGAAAGTAACAAGCAAGTGCCGACTCAAAGGTTTCAACGGATATGGAGTACTGCTGGGCTTGTTGGGCCTTGGGTTCAGCATTGGGCAAAGCAACTTTGCGTCGGACCATGCTTCTTTCAACTTGTTTCGAAGGCACCAGGTTAAAACCAAGCACAAAATGGGCGTCTCCGGAGGACACCCTTGTTCGGTTAAACGGAAACCGCCAGGAAGACTCGGTTCTCAAGTCCTAGCATCCCTTGGCAAAGTGCACCAAAGAAAACTCAGGAAAAACATAGGGTTTTTCCTCCCAGTTTCACAAGGACCAGACAGCGAACCAACAAAAGTCCACCCCGACATCCGGAAAAAACAATGGGAAAAAAGGGGGGGAGAAAAACAGCAGTTTCACACCTAAACTGCCGCTTCCCGTGCGCGTTTGTTTTCATTTTTGTCCCCCGGCGCCTGCTCGCCTTGCGCCCTGCAGCCAGGCGCTTGGCGAAGGAGGACCTTCTAAGCCGAAGCTCCAAAACGTCCCTTTGGTGCAGACCCCTGAAAAAATGGAAAAAATGTCCAGTAGGGATACATTCCTTTTAAAACCAACAAGGGAAAATATTAGTCTTAAGCAAATGGAAGAAAACCCTTCGCTTCCACCCCCCCCCCTCCCCCCCCCCTCCCCCCCCCACAGCGACCCTTAAGAAAGTCTTTTGGGGGGTTGCCCCTCTCGCTCTCTCTCTCTCTCTCTCTCTCTCTCTCTCTCTCTCTCTCCCCTCAATGGCCCCTCACTTTGCCTGTGGACACGGGTCAAAGGCGGCCAGGTTGGCCAAGCAAGACAAACCCCATTGGCCCAGGGCTCTGGCCAACACCTGAACATATATGCTCAGAGATTCCAGACAAGATCCAGCAAGCGGCAATGGGCCATACGCAAAAAGAAATGAAACCGGCAGAAAACACTTGTCCCAATGCGTGTTTGGGTTTGAAGAAAACACATTCCTCTAGTTCCCTTCCCCAACCTGCACAACATACAACACTCACATTCTCCATACGTGTCCTGATCAAACTTATTTGGTCAACGGGGTCTTCGCCCTCTCAAAATGAGATCAACCCCAGAAACTCAGTTGCCCTCGTTGGACCTGGAAATAGAAGGTTAAGTTTTTGGAACCTTGACTCAATATGGACTGAAAGGGCAACACCAAAGTTCAAACCGTCGATTCGCTTCGGACCAGAGAAAAAGTCTCTGGGAGCCCGTTTGCTACACGGGTTCAAGGGCCAAGATGAGTTGATCAACAAGGAACCACGACCACTCCATACCCTCCGGCATCCGGAGACGCGGAGAGTTGCGCAGAAACTTGGTAAGCTTGGGAGATAAAACGAGCTTCGCCCATGAAGGTCCCTTGCCTGGGGTTCCTTATGTTACTTGTGAGCAGTTAGCGGAATCCCCCTCTTCGCATGAGAATGCATACGCTGTGGGAGAACTTTCTCCCGATCTATGAGATAGGTTGACCTTTCGGGCTCTCGGCCTCCCTTGAAATTCCTCAAATTGCGCCTATCGCAAACGCCCCCCCCATCAGTGTGATCAATCCGCTTTGTCTGTGTTTGCGGTGTGTTTCGAGTCCCCGCCCCTTTGCTTTGGGGCGCCGCCCATGGCCTGCTGTGGACCCATCAACTCCATCCAAGTTGGTTTCCTTCGTGGCGTGCGTGTTGAAAGGGACTAGCCCTCATATTTGCCTCCACACTTTTTGCGACCTCAAAACTCGATGCCATATTTCTTGGCCATGTTATTTTCCTCGCCCAGAGGCTCCTAAGACCCGACCCCTCCATTGGACACTCCGGAGGCGTTTGGGACCCGGTCTCAAAACCTGGCCGTTTGAGGGCCCTAAATACATCGGGAGCCTCTGGGCCATGTCCGCAAATCACGAGCTCACGAATTCGGGCAGCAACTGGGGGGAGCCAAGCTGCTTTGTGCGGCTGCGGTTCGTATGGCCGGACAAACAACTCGCGAGCTCTTGGACTTTAACCTGTTTCACAGACCATGTGAGTGGCAAACAAACAGTTGGTGCTTCTGTTTTGCCATTTTACTCGGGAAGTGGGAAAAATGAACTCACCCAACAAAATCCCCTATGGATTAAGGACTGATTTCCAATAACAAAACCATTTTCCAGGGTCAACCCCACCAAAAAACAAAAAAAAGGTCGACGTAGGGGCTCGGGATGATTTAAGATTGGACACTCAACAGGTAAGTATTCCAGTGGACCTAGGGACGCAGGGACAATTTTGGTGTTGACCATTTCTGGTGACTTGTTTGGATTCTAACCCATACTTCTGAGAGCCCCGAAGAAGGCACCAAACTCTAGTCGAGGGTTGACCCGCTCCCACCTCTTTTCAAGGACAGGAATGGCCCCACGACATCTGTAGCTGCCTCCTGCATAAGGGCCATCACCCTTGGCGGTTTTACTTGGGCTTTCCCTGGGGCCCCTCACAAGGAAAGTTGGTGCCACATCCCCTGGTTGTCCCGCATTTCCATTGTTCTAGTCTCCGCAAACGGGATGGCATTCCATTGGTCGAAGTCCCCCCACCAATTCCTCCAGGGGTTGATTCCCCATTGCTTTTCAACCATCGTTCTTGTCAAAAACCGGCTGCTTCCCCTAGCTTTTTGACGGTTTCCTGAAAAGAAGGATCCCTGGAAAGAATGGAAATGGAAGGTACCCCTATAATTCCACTTGAGGGACACGGGGGTGCCGCCGAAACCGAACTTCCATCAACTTCAGCCCAGCGGCGGCTGGGATTTGGCCAGGTCATCCTCGGCAAAGGTCTCCAGTGGCGTTGGTGCAAAGGAGGACGTAGGGTCCTGAAATCACGTGACGCCTCCCCATTCTTTCCAGGGATCCTTCTTTTCAGAAAACCAGCAGAATCCAAGGGGAAACAGCTGGTTTTTGAAAAGAACGATGGCTGAAAAGAATGGCTGAAAAGTAGAATGGGGAATCAACCCCCAGACTTTTGCCCATGTCCGAATTCCAAGCGCGGTCCAAAACGCAGTGGTTTGGGGGGTGCTGGTGGGTTTTTGTGTTTTTGTGAGGGCACCCTTTTTAAGATTGGTTTAAGTGGAAACTTAGACGACATCCGGGTCCTCGATTCTGAGACAAACCCAATGTAGATCAGACATGGTCCCAACTGTGGGTCGTGCTTTCCCGATAAAAAACATCCGGACATTTCACAGTTGTCTAAAACTCCATGAGGTCTTCTGCTTCACTTGGTCGCAACCCCCTTAAGGCGAAATAAGGAGCCGCGGACAACAGTATGTGTTCCCCCTAACATATGTGAAAATTTGAGCTCGTTGGCTGGTTGTTGCCAGTCTTTGGGTGAGTGGCCCATGCCCTTCCAAACGTGAAACGACAGACCCATACGGGGCCCGGGGGAAGGTCCCACCGTTGCCTGAGAGCTCAAGGTGGCCAGCGAGTTCCGGCTGGAGGTGTAGGGATCTTTGCTCTTCTCCCTCTCCGAACGTTCCAGCTCCTGCAGGCATGAAAGCCATTTTCTTAAGGGCTCTTGCTTGGGCAAGGTGTTTTTGCTAAGGCAAAAGTGGGTGGTTGTTTTGATTAGCAAACAACCAGCTAGCATCCTCAAAGTGCTCTGTAAAAGTTGCAGGTCGCATCAAAAATTGACACGTCCAACGGCACGAGGCCAAAACAAACGGTCAAATTGAGTTGGAGTGGAGTTGAGTTGGGGTGGGGTTGGGCAGGTGGGGTTGGGCAGGTGGGGTTGGGAAGGGGGCGGGTTAGGTGCTTTGGGTCTGCGAGTTGGGGTGTGGAGTTTCATTGGCAAGTCAAAAAGCGAGGTTGCTTTAGCAAGCTACGACTCAAAGTTGCATACGAGTTTGCTTTAGCAAGCTACAGCAGCAACTTGTACAAGAGATTGGCACGAAAGGTTTTGATTGTATTCTTATGACTTCGCGCGTGAAAGACACATGTGAAGCTCGACAAGTCTAAATTCCTCTTGAAGACGGCGGGCCTGCACCACAAGTTGACCTTCTGCGTGGGCCGGCGTGGTCAATGTGCAAAAACTGGGGACTTTTCCACTTTTCGACTTTTAAACATGCGCGCGACCCGGACCCTCGCGGATCAGCGCGCAAAGAAGTCAAAAAGGTGTTTTTTTCTCCGATTTCTGCGGTCGCAAATGTGTTCGCGACCGTGAGGATTCGTGTGGCCGATGTCCACAAACTGAGGACTTGTTTCGATTTGTGTGGTGCCAGCGCGACCCTTTGCGAGGATCGGCGAAGTCGTTGTCAAAGCGCTGAGGGCTTTTGATGAACGTTAATTATGTGGTTCAAGCGCAGCCCTCTGCGGAAATTGGCGTGGAGCTGAGGACTTCTTCACTTTTTGTGGTTCGCGCTCTGCGAAATTTGACGTGGTCGATCAGGCGAAATGCTGAGGGGCGCGGGGGCCAGTGTGGTTTGCGCGCCTGCTCGGCCCCAGTCTCGAATCCTGATTGGTCTCAGTAGCTTCTATAGTTTGGGAGCCAGTGCGAAAGCACTTTTCAGAAGCTGGAAACTCGCAGGTTGTCAATACGAAAGTAGCACCCGAAGTTGCATTTCGCCGCTCCGGCAGGTTTGCAAGCCGAGCTACGAAAGCAGCCGAAGGTATTGCACCTTCGCAGCGGATCGATTCTACTCGAGTCCTTTAAAGGTCGCTGAAGTCAGCCGGCACGCAGGCAACTTGTTCAGAGAGCTTGCTAGAAACTTGTTCGGAGAAACTTGCTGAGAGAGCTTGCTCAGAGAACTTGCACCAAGAACTGGCTAGGAGAACTTGCCCAGAGGAACTCGCACCACAAATTGCTCAGAGGAGCTTGCACAGAGAACCTGCTAGGAGAACTGTCGGGCCACCCATCTTCTATTGTCTAATGACAGTCTCGAAAGGATTGGGGCAGCAATGGGGGCCGCGCCCGGAACATCCACAGGTTGGTCGAGCACGAGGATCGAAAAGAAAAAGAGGCCGGCGAGTCTTTGTTAAGTTGGCCCTCCCGCAAAAAAAAGGCCTTCGAAAAAAACACCCAAGGAGATGATGTCCAGATGCCCCAAAAGAAAGTTCAACCAGGGCGCGATTCTAGGCTTGACTAAATATATGGCCGGTCCTGAGAAGCACTATGTTGCAGGAGCAGAAGTTTGAAACCATATGTGCGTCCCGAACCCACCAGGAGAAACCAAAACGTGAACACCGCCAAGAAAAACAACCCGCCAAATCCCGTCGAGCCAGCCATGCATTCAAGCTGGGCAAAGCAAATAAGGCTTTCCCTCACAAACAACTACCCCTTGAAGATTAGCATCCCCCAAAAGATATCTTTTGGAGGAACGTCCGTTTGGGCAAATCCACGTCTCCAGCTCGTCGCCAAGCGTATTTAGACAACCTGAAGATAAGTTCTCTGACAAGTTGCCACATACCCTCCCCGGTTCGCGCCTGGGGCATGTGATCTCCCAGCACTGTCGGCTGCAGACGCGCCTGCTTTGCAAACTTGGCCAGCCGGCCCTGCCACATGTCGCTGCTTTGCCCCTCCTGACGCCATTCGCTTGGCGACATGCCGGATGTTGCCAGAGAGGAGAGCACTTGGAGCACATCAAAACCACTGAGCTTGGGTAAGCAACTGGGGTTCTACTTAGGATCACTTAGGATCACTGAAGGTATACCTTTTTCACGCGGCTTCTCGCGGCTTCTCGCGGGGGCCGGGGGGCAAAGCGCAACTCCAGGTTTGCTCTGCGACCGGCTCCTCCACGCCAAGCGAGTGCGCCCCCTGAGGGCCCTGGCCGCCGGGTATTTGCCCAACGCCGCTAAAAAACAACAAACTTCTGTCGGCTTTTCCATGACATTCGCAACAGGGAACATTCAAGAATGTTCCACTACTCAACCACTCCCCCCCCCAAGGCCATAAAAACACGTGAAGGATATCATGTCAGTATAGGGCGTCCCTGGAGGGGGAGAGAGAGAGAGAGAGAGAAAGAGAGAAAGAGAGAAAGAGAGAAAGAGAGAAAGAGAGAAAGAGAGAAAGAGAGAAAGAGAGAAAGAGAGAAAGAGAGAAAGAGAGAAAGAGAGAAAGAGAGAAAGAGAGAGGAAATAGCCAGGTTTTCAACCGGTGGTTCAGGGCAGTGTAAAAAATTCAGGGAACATGCTGATAGCTGGAGTTGTGTGATAAGAGCTGGAGTTTGCGCATACGTAGGTTTTCCCCTTGAATTAAAAAAGTTGAGCGCGGTAGGCTGGCAGCATCTCTGCCTGATCCAAACTACCGCCTGGGTCGCATATTCACAAGCCATTTCCCCACAAAATGAAATCCAGCAAGCCAATACACAGCATGTGTGTGCGAATTTTCAGGTGCCCGCGCCAAAGGCAGACCGAATTCGCTCCCAATCTCACACGGTCTTCCCCTCTGTTTGTTTGCTTTCTTGTTTCTGGTAGACATTGAACACCTAGGGCACCTCACAGCAATTGGTGCTTAATGGTGCTCGGCTCAGTCATGTCTTTGGGAATGCTGGGTTGGAACGGGGGAGGCCGACTATTTGAACTTTGGTTTTTTTGCTCTATTGAAGACATGCTTTAAGTACGCAATGTGAGCCATGTTTTCCGTTTATCACACCTTGCCGAACAGAGTGTTCCAAGGATTGCCATTTGGCCGTCTATAAGTGTACGCAATAGGTCTCAACCTGCATTATTGGAAGTGCATCTCGCCACTAATAAAATGCGGGCAGCTCTTTTCAAACCCGCTTGGGAGCTTGTTTAAAAAGGTTCGGTTTCAAGAAAAGTCAGTCACCTCTTTGCTGTTCATGCGGTCTGAGCAAGTGATTTTGGACTCACAGGCGCGCGCGACGAATCCTGTTCTCACAGGAGCATGTGATCGCACAAAGTACTGCGCGTGCCACGAAAACCACCTCCAAAACTCCACTCTTGCAGGTCGCTTCACGAGCATTGCTTGAACCTTTGAAACTTTCAACTGGAGTGCACCAGACCGCAGCTGGATGGGAGGCTTACATGCGCGTGCGAGACTCGCGCGCTTTGATCACGTGCGTGTGCGAGAGTTGGGCGTTTTGCCAGGCCAACCGCTGTCTAGCCTACCTTAGCCCGTCGCTGAATTCTTGGAAATTCATCTGCCGGCATGCCCTTGGTTGGGATCTGGGGCCGGTACATAGGCCACCCAAACAAATGTTTTCAAGTGCTTGGGTCGGGGTCTTTGGCAAGCATTGGTGTTCTTGAAAAACACATCTCGCCACATAAAATGACACCTAACAGAGCGAAACATGGTCAAACGGAGTCCACGGACAGTTGCATTTCTACACCACCTGCTTTGCAAGGTCCACCCAGTCTGGTAAAGGTGCTTGACGGAAAACAAAAGCGGGAAAAAACTACCGCCGGCCTGGGGCCGAAAGCCCGGCTCCGAAATCACCGGGGAGGCCGTGCCAAAGCTCCGGCCGCCCGCGGTCACAAAGGCCTCGATAGATGGGACAAAACTTGGGAAAAGAAGCCTCACTTCCTCAGTACCCTCATGACACTTCGGGGTCTTGCCTCCCAGCCATTAAAGTCAGCTTACAAGGTGAGAAACCCCAACTGAACCCTCTACAGCCAGGGATTGGCATTCCAAAACTACCACCAGATAGGGTTTCCCGACTTGGTATGGTAGCAGCAAACCGGTATTCAAGCGCCCCCAGTCAGTGTTAGGGAAGGCATGAAAATAAGATAGGTCCTGCGTAAAAGTTTCGCTCTAGAAGGAAGATGTCTTTGGATTTTTACAGGATGACTGCGCAAGATCTCTTGAAGGATCTCTTTGCAAAGACTGGCAGGCTCCTTGAGAGGGTCTGCACGAGACCTCTTGAGAGGATTCTTCCTACGAAGGCCAGCGCAACATGCCTATAGGATCTTCACAGAACTGTTGCTGGATTTGTGTACAGGATCCATGAACGAATCCTGCAGGTACAACTTCTCTGTTCAAGATCTGCTGGGGGCATATGGGGGCTTCTCCTACAAGATGACTTGGGACGTCTTTCCAGGTCCTGCGCAAGAGCCAAGTCTTTAAGGGATCCCTAAGATCTCTGCGCAAGATCTCTTAATAGGATGTCTTGGCAAGATCCGCGACGTAGAACTCATGAGAGGATCCTTCATATTGGTGATCTCTGTCAAGATCTAATTTCCAGATCTCTTGCAAGAGTATCTTTGCAGGTCCTGCGCTTCGATGTTTCAAGTTTCTAACCTGCGCCGGGCCACAGCAAGAGCGATGCTAAAGACCGCAGAAGGTTCAGTTTCGAAGTTCAAATTCACGCCGTGCCGCAACGAGAGCGGCCCGACTCCGATGTCCGCAGAGCGACATGAGCCACATAAATTAAAGCCTGCAGAGGGCTCACGCAGAGACGTCCCACCAACAGTTCGCAGAGAGTTCACTTGCGATGTTCAACATCCTCGCCGTGCCACAGCCAGAACGATCCGACCAGCCCAAAAGTCCGCAGAGCGGTCACTTTTGATGTTCCAAATTCGCGCTGCACCATGGCAGCAGCGATCCGACCCACCCAAAGACTGCAGAGGGCTCATTTGCGATGTTCACAACTCGCACCGCTCCACAACACCCCTCCAAAAAAACCAAACCCAGCCAACATCTTAGCGCGAGCCTGCGCTGTCGAAATTCGCATGAGAATCTCACAAGGGAACTTTTGCGCGAGCCTGCCCAGCTGAAAAAACGCCGCCCCACCACTTCGCGCGAGCCTGCGCAGTCGAAATGCATTTCAAGATTCTACAAAGTCACGATGTACGTAAATACCACCGGCCCAGAGCAAGCGCCCTGATCAAACACCGGCCCTTTACTCCCACTGTAAGAACCCCCTTGTATAGGCACAATGTTTGGGGAAATATGCCAAGAGCTTCCCCCGATTTAATTGTCTGAAACGGGGGTTTCCCATCCTGCAAGGGCCACAAAGTCAAGTCCACAAAGACAAATCTCTGAGGGCCATTGCACACTCAACCCACGTAGGGCCAACGGGACAACAAACAGACGAAGATTAATTTGTTCTAGTGTGGGTTAAGGATTTGCACCCTCCCTCCAGCAAGCATGGTTTTGTAAACAACCCTTTCGGACAACTACCTTCTTTTTGAACATGCGACGTCTGCACTTCCAAATCATTGGCTTCGACTCTTTCACAGAGAAAAACAGGCTGGTTTCGGAGTTCTTCTTTGGCAACGTCCCGCAACCTGTTCGGCAGAAAAGGGGACCTCCGCTGCGACCCGAGAACAGGATTTGGAGCGAAGAAGTGCCCTCCAGCGCAGCAACGTGGTTGGGTTGGGACCGTTGGACCATTCTGTTTGAACCCCATGGAAAGGAAGACGGATGCGTCACTGGGGACCTGTTGCAGACTTCGCGTTTGGGCCAGAGACTTCCACACACCTTTTTGCTGGTTGAAACCAAGGATGGAGGAAAAACCGAGAGTCGGACATTACCCCCTTGCAGATGAACATGCAACTTAATCAAGCCATCCTGGTTGGAGGAGCTTCTTGAGGCCCCTTCCTGGTTGCTTCCTTCTCCCAGGAGATATGAGTCATAATCAAAACCCGGTGTTAAAATGCTCGGCCCAGAACCCTGTAAAGAATTAAGAAGGTGGCCGCAGCTATTTATGGTTGGGATTGTTGGGATGTTCAGTAACCTTCATCTACCCGGGTTTTGATCGTGGCTCATTTGGCAAAGTCAACCAAAACCCGTGCCTCAAGCGGCGCTTCCGACTCCTGGCGGACCAGCGCGGGGCTGGCCGGATTGGTCGTGAGCGGAGTCGTCTGAGTTGTGTCATTGAACCTAGGCCAACTTCGGAGCGAAAAAGGATACTCTCTTGGGATGCCTGATTCCAAGCCCAATTCTGGGGTGGAGTAGCAACTTTTCGTGGTGGGTCTCTCTTCTCTCTCTCTCTCTCTCTCCGCCGTTGCGTCCAGAGGGTCTTGACTCAACAAGGCAACAAAAAAGGTGCCCAATAATATCCAGGGGCACCAACAACAGAAATTCTGGGGTGGAACGTTTCAGAGTAGCAACTTCTCGTGGTGGGTTTTGCCTTCACCTTTTTCGCGGCGGCTTAGGAAAAAGACAACGCGTTGGAATCAGAGGCAAATCCCTTTTCGCATTCTTTTTCAAGGGAAACCCTTCTTGGGTTGCCATTTGAAGGAACACCCATTTTGGGGTCCCTTGTTGGTTTGGAGGGCAACGCCAGGAAAGTCGGGAATTTCAGTTTACCATTTGTGCGGCTGATTTACAGGGAGCAGTCTTGGGGTTGGTGTCTAAAGGGGAATCCAAATTTGTTCTTCCATTGCCCAGGGCCTGTTAAGGACCCCCGAATCCTGCTGGCCAAAGAAGAGAAAATGCACCAGGCAGGTGGTTTAGCCCATATATAGGTGTTTGACTTCCTTTCCACGGGATGCCACCCAAAGGGCGTGGCGAAGACTCCCAGCCAACCGCCGCGCATGGCGCGGTCCCTGTGCTGGTTCAAGGCTTCGTCTACGGACCGCTGGTAGTCCTTGGCCAGCATTGTCCTCGGAGAACCGCCAGAGGCGGGGTGATTGGACACCTTCAAATGTTGCTCGGTTGCTCGTTGGGAAGTGGCCAAAAAAAAAAAAAAGGTTCATACTTTCTGTTTGCACTGATGTGGTCTTCTCGAAAAGGTTTTAAAGTGTGTGAAATCAGGGAGTGAGCATATAAAGGGTCATCCCCTCGTTGCTCGTCCCTTAAGCCCGGCCAGCTGAAACAAGACCTTGCAAACTCTGCAACATCTGCATCTTAGGAATTGGACCCCGGGTAAGATGCTAAAAGGCCTAGAAAGCGAGTGGATAGGATCCAAACCGTGTGTAGTTGCAACGATGTGCTTTCCTTGATCTCCCATGGACTGCGGAAACCTCACACACGAGACAAGTTGAAATGCGGCTATGCGCCTGCCTCTCTTCTGGGGTGAGGCTTTCACATTTCCGATTAGACTACGCAACCTGCCGGGAGTTGCAACGCCCAACGCACGTTTGCACCACGCAGCCAATGCGCCCATCGAAAGGACCAAGCCCCAAAGCAAAAATAAAAGACACTCTAGCCCGGGTCTACTGACCCTTCATAGCCCTTTGGTTGCACGTGTTTCAGTGGCTAAATGGTTGGCACTTAAAGGACTTGGGCCATGAGCACACAACAACTTCGGGCAGGAAACAAAGGACAACCGTTTTGGGGGGTGGCAAAAACAAAGTAACGTGCCTGCAAGCTTCGGAAGGAACCTTCGAGAGAACGGGGAAGATTCTGGAAGGTTCTGGAAGGGGTAAGAGACATGGGGGGTGTCTTTGGTTGGAGTTGGTGCCCCTTTTTTGCAGTGAAGCGACAGGGAAACGACACGCCCAGCCTTTTTTTCGCCTTAAGGCAAATGCAAATCGGCCTTACACGGCCAATTTGCGGTGGGTTTTGGGGTTGGATGCGAAAGTCAAACAGATTCCCATGCCTACTACCTGAGGTCCGGTCGCCTTCTGAAAGTGACGAGCGAAAAACCCAAAAATGGGCAGAGGGCCGTGCCTTAATGCAAGAGTGGCTCGTTGAACCTCTTGTGGCCCCGGAGGTGTAAGGCAAGGGGTTCTTTGAAATGCGATCCCCGTGTTTAAGCAGGGCCGTGGGGAATGGTATCCACTTCTATGATACAACAGAAAGGGCTTCCCAAAGACTAACTTGTTCATAGAAAGGGGGATTTCCCTTGTATCACAGGAGTGGGGATAAACCCCTCGATCCCACAACCCTGTGTTCAAGTGCTTGTCTAAGGAATGCATAAAACACAGAAGCAAATGCCATCAAACAACAACAAAAACGCCGGAACCGAGATGCTCACTCACCTGGAAGGATCTGGAAATGAAAGGTTCCCGAGACCTGGACTAGGCCAAAATGGGAAATCGAACTGAAAATTAAAGATGGACTCATCGACAGGGCGAATCCGTGCTCTTCTTTCTTTCGGCTGCGCGGCAAATCTTCCGTGAGGGCAGCAAAGAGGGGGTCAAAGAGCAAGTCCAGTGAGGATCCACTGCTCAGTTGCTGGGTGCCTGGCGCTGTTCAAGGAAATGTCCCAACTTGGATCGGGATGGATGAAATCCTGCACCACCTAAGAAACCATGGAATGACGATTCCCCTTGAACAACTTCAAGGTGGTGCAGGATTTTCCCAAGCCAAAATCAGCCATCTGTTACCCGTTGTCTCCCTGGTGTCCCTTCCCCAATTCTTTCTATTTTTCTGCTTCCAGGCAGGTTGGCATAGGCAGGTTGGCATAGGCATGCCCTGGAAGTCTTGTGAGACAGGCATGCTCCAGAGCTTATCCCCTTGCCCCGAAAATGTATGGCGGGTTTTCCTCTTCGAGGTATAGCCGGTCCCAATGCAAAGTAGCAAACGCCCCTGCATTGAGCAAGCCTCACACGTCCCCTGCAAGCCTCACCCAATGGGAGACTCAACGGTTAGCGCAAAAGGTGATAGTTGAAACTTCGCATACGGAATGTATGAGGACGGGCCAATTGGTACATGGCAACCTTATGGGTTATAACCCGGGCGACCTCAACATGAAACCATGCAGCCATGAAGCGGCGGGTTCCGCTTAGCCGGCAGTGCTAGGCAGGTTGCGGGGACGATCCAGGGCTGTGGTTGGTTGTTTGCTTGTTTCTGTGGTTCGTTGGTTGGGTTGGTTTGGTTTGTTGGTTGCTGGTTGGTTGCTGGTTGGTTGCTTGGTTGGTTGGCTGGTCGGCTGGTTGATTAAAAGCAGGGCCAAAAGGGTTCCACTATTGTGAGATGAAAGCCACGTAGGCACCAGAAATGAACATGCAGGAATGATATGGAGGCGTTTTTTCGCCTCAGTCGGCACAACTTTGCCACCCTTTCAAGTTGAGTGGCTGATTGTTGACCGCAGATTTATAAACTGACTTTGATCGGGAGGTGTCCCCTTTTAGTGGGGACTCAGACCACTTTGGAGGGAACACCTCCAGTGAACTAATGGTTCACCCGTTTTGGAGGACGAAAATCCTTGGGTAGACAATGGTGGTGATATTCCCCCTTGGTTGCCGTTGCAAGGGGGGCAAAACAATATTCAGTTTTAGCAGTTGAGCGGTGGGATTTCAACCACGAAACCACACATGGCAAAAATAGGAGAAACATGTAAATCTGTAAATCCCAACAACAACCAAGACAACTCCTCATTCCTATGGCGGATGGCGGTTTGACCCCATGGTCCAAACCAAGCTCCGAATCCGAGAGGAACCCCAAAACCCGCCCGCCTTCCGCGGCGCCTTCCATGGCCAACCAAAAGCGGAGGCCGCCGCGGCCGCAGCGGAAAAACCGCCGGCCGCTGGGGGCTGGGTGGGTTTTCTCTGGCTGAGAGTGGATGAAACCAAAGGCTTCCTGACCTTTTGTCTTTATTTGACATTGATTGGTTTCGCCTGCAAACTCATGCCTCGGTTTGGAAAAAAGGGCCTGCGAGACCTTTGGTTGGCGCATTTTGCGTGGGGGCACTTGATGGAGGCCCTTCAATTTGAAACCGAACGAAACGTATGGGGGCCGCCTTCTGGTTGGGTAAGGGGCAACCCGACGCCGAATGTTCAAAGAACACCTCAGAAACTCCGTCTCTGTCGCGCACTTCCAAGAACGACGATTCCTGAAGCCGGGATATGGATTTAAGCCTACGGGCGGCTGCCTGCCACACGCACATGATGCTGAAACAAGTGCTTTGTGTTTGTCGGTTTTCCCTTCGTGTCCCAAGGCACGCCCACAAAGCTGCATGTAAGTACAGGCTCTTTCGGATGAATGGAAACATTCCGCAAGTGAACGCTGGCAAACCGATTCCTCGATTCCTCGACTCTGGCCCCTGAGAATCCCCTGCTTGGCCAAGGGGTGCGTGGGAGATACTCGCTGAGTCCTTTGCCGGATTGCCGAGGGATTCCCTCCCAAGGTTCACGGGCCAAAAAGCCGCCAGATAGGTGACCTTCAGAACAACAAAGCATCCAAATGGCCCCGGTCAATGGAATCGAACCAATCTACAGAGATTTCAAACCAACTCAAAGGACTCCAAATAGCAGATGTGAAAGCCATCGCTCCCATTTGTGTTCTTTTTGAAAACAGGGTAGGGCCCCGGAAAAAAATCAACAAACAGTTCCATGGAATATATGTTGGGAAGCTGGAACTGCAAATGAACATCTGGGTCGCCATTCGACTTAGGCGAAGCGCGGCTTCTTTTCCACGAAGTTGTCAGGGTGAATAAAAGGGCAAACGGCGGGTGTTTCGCCTGGGCAATTGCCTTCAGCAAGCTGGGTGGGTTGCCTGACGCAGCAACTGATGGATCACGAGGATTGCCCAAAGGATGGCCATGGATGGCCTACATGGGACACCCCCACCCCCCCAATAATCCAGAGGGTTCATTTCCGGTCCCCATTCAGCTCGAATGCCTCCTCTGCTTCCCGAAAGTTCCCTGGTGAACCGCGGACTTCTCTTGCACAAATGGCTTGTGGGCAACCCATTTGCTGGCCCAGCTTCTGTCTTACAAACACCACTTACATGTCCCAGTGGGTCCAAGGAATTGAACCACCTATTGAAAACCAAAAGGAACATAGCGAGGGGTTCCCTACGTTGCACAAGGATTGGAACCAAGGATGGCACGAAAGTCTCAGTTTTCGGTGTGTCTTTCTTGGGTTGCTTGTTGCCCCAGGATAGCCCAAGGAGATAACGTTTTTAGTTGTCATTGATGTTATTTATTGTAGTGTCACGCTATGTTTTCGTGTTTTGTCTTAGTGCTTTTTTTGTTTTCTTTGGGGGGGGCTCCCGTTCTGAAAGCTCGGGAGCCAGGAGAGCAAAACCAACAGCACAAACTGAATTGCTCTGTTTGGAGACACAGCTGCCCCGCGTTCCGCCATGGCTTCCATGATGCCAACGTGGGAGTACCACCCCTCTGACTTCGTCAGGGGATCCCCCTGGTATGGCAGAACGCACCAAGCTGGATGTTCCATTGTGCCCGCTTTTGCCCCAATAAAACGCGTGGTTCAAATCTATTTCCATTTGGGCTTCGGTAATGGGAGAACTCGTTAGATTTCGAGCCCTAGTGTTCCCATATCCTTTTCGGGAAACCTCGCAACAGTGGGTGTTCCTGGCGGTCAACGGAAACAATCCGCTGGGGAGGAAGTGTGCCCTCCTGATCCTGCAGAATACGAAAGGAACAAAAGCACCCATTTGTACTTTGCGGGCTCCATGCGTACTGTCCAACTTTGGACAGATCTTCAAATCTTCCTATCGGCGCTGTTTCCTGGAAGCCTTCTGGTGAGCAAAGCAGATACATGTGCAAATTTACTATTGTTTCAAAAGCTGAATTAAGGGATGGCCAAGTAAAGGATCTTTACCTTCCTCGATGCCCAAGCGTCTCGTGACACATGTAGGGCGGCCACGTGAGGCCCAACCACTGCGGCTAACTGCGCCGCACCACACACTGCGCCCCAAAAAACGGGTGGGAGCCACATCACGCTGCATTTGCGGCGCAACATGCAGACGAGCCACCCAAGAAAGCAGGCAGCCTGGCCAAACTAAAAAGTTAAGACACACAAACATCACCCCCAAACTGTACCAGGAGGGATCTGCGCCGCGGCGGTGAAGTTCCAGCAAGACTTTCAGGCCGCCGGAAGAGAAAAACCTGCAGGAAGTGCCAAAGGAACGACCGACCTGCGAAGTGGCAGGCAGAGCAAGCCCTCCTCCAGGAACAAGAAACATGGAAGACTCCAAACTTCCACGCACCACATACGGACCCACAAAGATTTCCGCGCCACCAAAAGGAGGAGCAGAATGCGATGCGCAACTTCCGAAGAAGACCGCCTGCAAGAGGGAATAAGGAAGACAACCACAAAGTCCAGGCGGCCAGGGGAGAGCCCCACAACAACAAATTCCAGTGATAGCCGAAGGGCATAGCCCACCTCGCACGAAATGCTGCGGCGCGTTGGCCTCGAGGGGAGGAAACCTGCGCATCGTACGCACCAGCTTGCTCCAGGCATAGACGGACCGAAGTGTCAAAGAATCCAGCACGAAGCACAACCCGAAGCCACAAACCAGGCCAGCCGGTCGCTGCCCCCAAAGAAAAGCTGGGGCAGACACGGAACGATCAGGCAGCATCCAGCCACACGATCACTGAGCGAGACCACAAAGAGGTAGAAGAGGCGCGCCCCAAACCAAGTCCGAACCAGAGCGTGCGCGAAGGGCAGGCCTCCAAACACGCAGAACCTTGGCCACAACCATGAGAAGACGGAGCACAGCACAGGCTATGGCTGAAGCGATGGAGCGTCAGCAGGAGCTTAACCTGTTGGAAAGCAGCCGACGTACCAAAGAATCAAACCAGCACGTATCAGGTAGTTCTCACCTTAAGTGTCAAACCAGCGCATATCATCTAGTTCTCAGCTTAAGCGGGTTGGCGAAAGCCCAAACTTCGGCTTGGCCACTAGTATATACTAGAATTGTCTTGAGTATGAAGACCAAGAGTGAGATGAGTGTGCCCAAGAGTGCCTAACAAACAAAACTGTTAAGAAAAGAGGAAACAAACGCCACTGAGAAGGTGGGGCTGATATATTAAGTCAGCCGGTCCAATCTGGGCAGGTCGGAGCTCCCGAGCATCCCGAATACATCAAAGCTACCACTTTTTTGGACGGAGCCTGACTCCTGATTCTCAAATCATTTCTCGCATGGCCGGCTTTGTCATGGTTTGGCATGGTTTTCGGGTGGCAGCTTCCGAATTCGCTTCCATCTGCGAACCTCGAGCAATTTTGCTCAGGCGCAATTTCTTCGAATGGAAGGGGGCGCCTGGGCAAACTGGCATACCAAATGAGCCTGAATGCGGTTTTCCCCGTTAGCATGATTTAGTCTTTAGTTGTGAACTAAGCAATAATCGCATCAAATGCACCCAGCAAAAAACAAAATGCGTGACTGCGATACTTCAATTCGCCCTCGTCAACTCGCCCGTGAGCGTTTGGGTGGTTTGCGTAATGTTTTCCTCTTGCAAGCAGTTCCCGATGAACACAGAGGAGGAAGAGGTTTCACAAGCAAGTTGTTGCCATGGGAAAATGACATTTCCCCCTACCAAAGTAGGAGCCCGATACCCTCATCACGTAGCGGAAGAACCTGAAACGCCGATGCGTGATTTTGAGCTGCTTGGGTTGTCAAAAACTTGCTGGTGCTCAGCAGGAGATGACCCAGGGTGTTGGGAGTGAACCTAGGGGTTCCCTTAAAGGAAGCCACCAGTTGGATGGTTTATGGGGCTCATTCCGTCATCCCCCGAGAACGAGCAAGAAAATTTGGAAGCGCTAGGGCGGAAGCTCGCCCATTTCACTCCCATGTTGGTCTGCCAGAGCCGCTTGCGTCCCTAACTGGGCGCTCGGAAGCCGTGTAAAAGAGGCCCCCCAAGGGCGCGAATTCTCATCTCATCGTGCAGTTGGGTTTGCCGCTCGGAGGGGTTGCAATATTTGCCGGTGACTTCCATCGAAGCCATTGCCTTTCTCACTTCCTGGATTGCCCAAAATGACATTCTACCGTTGGACACAATGAGCCGTTGATAGGGTCTGCGCATTCACGTGCACGTCTGACGCTGACAATGCTGGCTGTAACCGCGGCTGCCAATGACTATACAACAGTCTTACTTGCTGGCGTTGCACCTTGGGCTACCTCCAACAAAAAATGAACCCCTCTGGGCGACACAACCAAAAAGGCACCAAGCAGGGACCGGGAGTCGACTAGGCCGACGCCGAAAACGGCGACCCAACTGCGCTAGATGGGCGCTATGTCCGATTGCCGTGGCTGCCCGAGAGCCAGCTGGAGGCCTGCATGAGCCTGAGAATGGGCGGTATGTTCAAAGGTAGGTCCTTTGGTGGAGGGGGCGATCTTTTCTCTTTTTGAGGCTGGTGGTTGTTTTTTGAGGTTTCAAAAGGGCAACCAAGAGGACAACTAGGTCCTCCAGCTCCTCCAGTAGAGAGGATAGAATAAGGGTGCCCTTTTGTCTGTAGTCTATTTTAGTAGGGGAACCCTCCCCAAAAACAAAGGTGTTTGTGTGTTTTACGGGGTGGGAGGAAAACCAAGAGGACAACCATGTTTGTTTGTTTCTTTAGGGCATGGGAGGGAACCCGGAAAGCCTTTGTTCCTGCTTTGTTGGGGTGATATGGCAGCGAAACCAAAACTCATAGCCCCAGCTGATTGTGTTCTTTTGAGCCACTCCCCTGTTTTTGTTTTGGGCGGTTGGGCGAACCACATGTTGCGCCTCCAAATTGAGGGACGGCCCAATACAACTAAGGAGTTCCCGTCGAGCATGGAGGTGAAGTTACCGGGTACCCCGTGCTGGGAGCTGACATGGAATCGAATGGGGAGAACTGCCAAATGTCGCGCCAGGAAGCGCTGAAGCGCTGATTTTCCCCCCTACACATCTCCATCCCAGTGGCATCCAACTGCAATGTATGAACTCCAGGATCAAGTGACAATCCGCAGACTTGCGTCCGGCTGAGCCGAGAATGGGGGTGAGGCATCTACTTTGGCCCGGGCCATCTTTGAGCCGCTGAAATCAGAGATTGGTTGGAACCCTTCGACGTAACCGGATTCGGAATCGGTCCTGGCTTGGACCATTGTCGGTTTCAAGGGACCGGGCCCCGAAAGTCAGGTTCTATGTCCATTGGGTGGGAGGGAAGCCACAAACATCTCCCACAAGCCACGCGTACAGTTGACCATCCAAGCGGAGATCCATGCATCGCTACATTTCTCCTGACACCCAGCCCAAAGAACACTCAGCTCCAGGGCTGGAAATGGAACCCACTTCTGTGATACAAAAAGGGCTTCCCAAAGACTACCCCCCAATACTGTGGATGGACGAAATCCGTTTCGCACCACTTGGACACCATGGTTGGTTGGTATTTACACGGGAATCAACATTCCAGGGTTTCTTAGGTCGTCCATCCACAGTATGAAGGGGGAGATTCCCTTGTATCACAGGAGTGGTTGGACAAACCTCTTGATCCCACATCGTGCTCACTTCAAATTTGCCGAAGAAGTATAGAAACCACCCGCAACCTTTCGGTCAGTTCGATAGTCGGCCACTAGCCGGGAGATTGAAAATGGAATTCGAACCTCTTTTCGTGCTTAAGGAGAAACATGGAGAAATCAAACATAAACAAGAACAATTGGCGGACTTGCAACAAGTGAGTGCGTCTTTGGAGGAAACATTTGGAAGCGAACCGAAGGAAAACTCCATCCGTCTGAGATTGGGGTGTCTTTCTTAAGGCAACCCCCTCCTCCAAAAGAAACTGTCGGTCCAGATGGTTCCCCTTTAACAAAACCATTTGCTGCACCCTTAAAAAAGGAAGCGATCGAGCCACACGCACCGACCGGCGACCGGCGCCGAGGTGCGTGAGCTCATCCACGAAGCGGCTCTTGGTCCGGCTGTTGCGGCGGCACTGCCGCGCCGCGCCGACCTTCAGCAGCTTTGCGTCCTCGAGAGCTCTCGCCAAGTTCCTCAGGCCAAAAACTCAGTCGCCCAAAGGACCCAAGAACAAAAGGTGATCACCTTTTGGGGCCTTTACCAAAAAAATAGACCAAAATTGGACAACCAAAAGGTTAAAAGGTCGGCTTTGGGCAACTGAGAAAAACACGAGCGGACCGGATCGCACCCCCATTTTTGCGCCCAACCGGATATGTGGGGCTACCAAACCGGAATTCCAATCCAGTCGCCCCACATGTCCTCATGCAAGACACAAAAGCGGCCCAGCCAACTGGCCATGGGTCAAAATCCAAAGCCAAATCGTACCCCCAGTGAACGTCCGATTCAATCCGGTGGTGAATTCACCTACCCCAGAATGGTACCATTGGTTTTGACCCACAGCCAACTGGTTTTTCTTTTTTTCGGGAGATTGACCCGTTGAGCCAGGGTTAAGCGCAAAACTCGTCATTCAAGTGGGGAAGTTATTTTTAAAAAAAAAAAAAGAAAAAAAAAAACATGTTGCAGAAAAAAAGAAGACACAGAACACACAAACATACTTTTGGGGAGCGGGCCCTTCCTAAATGATTGTGCTTTATACACTTTTAGGGGTGCATCTTTGATGATTCTCCGCTAAGATTGGCTTTCCTTCGCTTTTGGAGGGGCTGAGGCTTTCAATATCTTCCCCCTATTTATTAAAGCGCCCATTTTTGTCTATCGTTTTTCCCGGACCGCTGGGTCCCCAATACTACTTTTAGAATAGGCCAAGTCCAAACCAACACTAAGCTGGAAAAACATTTGCCGGGACCGGCCTGGTTGGGTAGTCCACGATCCGACTCCTGGCACCAACCCGGTGCCAAGTTAGGCCCGTGTTAAGGGATGAGTGCATTTGCTTCTGAGGGAGCTCATCTGCCGAGCCAATATTCAGTAAAGAGGGTAATTTCTACTAGGGAGAGATTAGACCTTGGGGAGACGCCGGTTCTGTGCACTTCCCTAGTTGCTAGTGGGAGGGGGGGTGTCCACGTTCGATCCTCCCTTCCTCGATTTGAAGAAAGTCCGAACTGGTTTACTGCTAAAATGGTCCAAGCCCAAAAAGTATACCAATCAGGAACTCAGGAAGTTGCAAAAGGCCTTCAACATGGTCTAAACCCAAAAAAGTATACCAAAATGGTTTAAACCAAAAAAGTATACCAAAGAAACCTAAAAAACACTCTTCAACCCAACTCAAGTGTCAAACTGCCCGCAAAGGGTGCCTCAAAAGCCGCCCTTTTGCCCAGAGTCGACAAGGCAACGCTGAGAGCCTTCACGTCGGCTTGCAGCACGATCCTCGGGTCTGCCATTCGCACGCCGCACACCCAAGCCGCTCACGTGTTTGAGTTGCGTCCATAGTGGCATTCTCAAAATCACCCTGTACATGTTCATTCAATAACAACTCCCTCACATAGAACTTTGACCGCTCATGTCAAGGAACCCAGGTCTCACAAGGGATTTCTCTCTCTCTCTCTCTCTCTCGACGCCATCTCCTCCAAGTTGGATTTGCGCCATTTACTTTCAGCCTGGAAGTGGAGCTTCAACGAATCGGAACCCCCGAAATGGCCTTCGGTCTTCCTTTTGGCTTCCTTCAAACCCAGCCAAAACAGGGTATCTTCAAAGGGAACCATCACATATCAGCCCGGGAGCCCTTGAGGTCGATGCCATTCCACAAAAGATTGCCCCCCCTTCCCCACAGGCCGTGAATTTTGGAGGCGTCACTGAACAACTGGGCAACGGTGCGGTTGGCAAGCCCTAAGCGGCAAACCTATGTCAAAAAAAGCCGTCAAGATGCCTGGGCAACTCAAAGTGGAAAACCTTCAGGCCAAAAGGCCCCAATTGTTGGAACCTTCTTAGGGCAGAGCTACCCAAACATCCAGAAAATGTGACCACTTGTTTGGGACCTTGACTATTTGTTGGACAAATCGAACACATGTCGGAAAGAAGTCAATGAGCCAGGGATCCTTACATTATACACCTGAACATTGCCTTGTACATGGTTTCCCTTTATTTTGGTGGAAAAAGCCATGTTTCAACTGGTTGCAACATGTATCTTTTATGTCTCGCCATTGGGCAACATGTATCTTAGGAGCCCTGGAGATGGGGCCCAAGGACCCAGGGCCATGACGGAAGCTGAGTCTCTGGTCCATAGCCCTCGCGGGGCCCTTGCACCGCAAAATCCCCTCGATGAAATCGTCGTAGGTCACGAGACCATCGCCTCGGATCTTGGGTGCAACTTGCGGCTTGGACTTTGGGCTGGACCCTGGTGGGGCAAAAGGAGGCCAGCCTTTTTTGGGGAAGTCCCCCATAAACCGGGACCTATGGACTATGGGTAATGTTTTTCTCAGAGGCCCTTTGGTGTACATCATTTAGGTGGGGATTCATGTCCAATCACTTTTGAGGCGGTTCCCTACTAAAATTCATGGCCAGCTAAGAAACAAATACCATTGCTGGACGACCCACCGAATTCTGCCAAAGGCCAAAGGCTCCCAAGTTAGTGCATCCCCCCCCCCCCACATAGATGACAGTAGACATGGTTTGTTGCCATAGATGTTGAACGATAGGTTTGTGTCAAAATAGAGGGGCCAAGACATTGTATGTCATTGTATTTCGGTCTTCAGTAGGCTTCCCTTCAAACCATGTGCCCATTCTGTTTGTGAGCTTCCGCTTCCTGAGGGGGCGCTTACCCTCCCTCCAACAATCATGGAAGCTGGCGATCGGGTTGAAGACTATTCCTGCCCTGTCCAATTCCATTGGAAAACATGGGCTCACCTTTTGGAACCGAGGCTACATCTGGAAAAGACTGGACCAGGAAAAAACTGCGGCAAAAACGAGTCATTTCAGGCGCTTCGCTTCAGCAAACGAGCTTCAGCCAACGAACCCTTGGAACTGGCGGGGTCAAAATTCGACCAAAGAGATGGACCGCAGGTTTTAGTCCTTTCCATGTACCGATCGGGCAACCTTCCATTTGCTGAAGCCCACTGGAAAAATATATGTAATATTTCCAGTATAGTGATAGATTTCCTTTAAAACCAACATGGGAAAATACCAAATATTATTCAGCAAATGCAGGTAACCCATGTTGGGGTTACCCTCCCACCCTTTTGACATGGAACCGTTCGACGTGCGGGACCCGGTCCCCACTCAAAAGGAACATGGTCCATCCAAACCAGAACCGATTCCCCGGTTACGTCCAACGGTTCTATGTGAAAAGGGGTGGGTACATAGAACCTGCATCTTGACTCAGCACCCCGCGACTCCCGCCTTTTTTTACCAATCAGTGCCGGGCCATGTGCTTCCGCCATTTTGGGGTGATCCGATTTTTTACCACAGCTGGTGCCCAGCAGGCAATGAGAAGTGGCATCCAACTGGTGGCTTCCTACTGTGGATGGACAAAATCCTCTTTGGGTCATTCCCAAAAAATCCCACCAATTCTCAGCTTCAGGGAATCCAACCAGCTCCGTCTCCCAGAGAGCTCCCCTCCGCTCGCTCCGTCTCGAGCTCGCTCGCTCCGACCGCTCCCGACGCCCCACGCGAGACGCGAGGACCGAGGGGCCGTTGGCCAGCAGCCGGAAGAGCGCCTCGCTCTCCGGCACCGCCACCTCCAAGCTCTCGAGGTACGCCTGGACCTTGGGGTCCCTCAGCAGCTCCGACCTAAGCGGCTTGAGAAAAAAGCGAGAAACAAAAAAAATTAGGGTGAACTCAGTGGAGGGGTTTTGGACCAAACAAATCCAAACATTTTTAGGGGCAACACTCACTTCAGTGGAATTTGCCCAAAAACAAGTCCGAACCTTTTACTTTTAAGACTAGCACAGATCTTCCCAAAGTGAGTTCACTTGAGCGGACTTGCCCCAAACGAAAAGTCCAACCTGTTTTGTTTTAGACGAGTACTCTGCCCAAACAAGTCCAACTGTTTGTTCGCTAGTAACGGTCTTCCAAAAAAGTCTAAAGTGAAACTCAGGAACTGAGCCAAAGGGGAATCACCTGGGATTTCAACAGGGCTTCGCATGGTTCGCCTTGAACATTCCCCCCAAAAATGGTGGCTTGCTTTTTGGTGGAAAAAAACAGGTCGCGATGCAACTGGCTGACGACATCTGGCAAGGGTGAGAATTGGCGGTGACACCGTTCCTTTCACAGTGCCAAGGTCCCAAAAGCAAAGGGAAAGACCACAGGCAGGGATCCCCTTTTTGACCAACAGGTAGACTTAAACCAAGGGCTGCTTTGATTTCAAGACTTCCAGAAAATATGTTGCTTAGGTTCTTGAGGGGCAGTACAGCACGTCAAATCAGGGGCATTTCCTCCAAACGACAACCTTCAAAAGGGTCAGATCCGGAAACAAAAGCTTTTAACTTGAATGCGTTTCAAAGCAACTAAGGCGACATGACTCTACCCTCAGAAGGCTGCAGCTTGGAGGTTGGCTGTTGTTTGGAGGCATTTTGAGAAGAAACGCCTACCACCCCTCTGGACGAAACACGTTCAGATTGACTGATTTTAGAAAAGAACGTTGCAGGGAACCGCCTACCAGTTCAGATCTGGAAGCTAACACTCTGATATTGACATTTGTTCCAAGGGCTTGAAAGGAAAGATCTGCCAACCAGGTTTGGAAACAGAAGCATTGAAATTGAATGCTCTGTATAAGGAAAGTTGAAATTGACTGTTTGTCTTGACAAGGAAACACCTACTAGCCAAATCTGGAAAGCACAATATGCTCGACTTTCAATGTAATACCCCAACAGCTGAAAGCTTTGGGGTCTCAGCCCAGATAGGCTCCGGGGTGGTCCGGGGCGGCCCTGAAAGCAGGTGGAAGCAACTAATTGAATTTACAGTTTGTTTGGTCGATCTCTGAAAAACAAAGTCCACCACATTGACTTCGAACGGTTTTTGCAAAGAAACTTGAGAGAAACAAGGCCAACTCTGGCAGCAAAAGCATTCACATTCACATCCTTTAAAAGGAACTTCGATCGCGGGGAAAAAACACTTTCTTCAGCTCCGAACAACTCCGGCGGTGAAATCCGGGCAGAAAGAAAGCGGCTCAGGTGCGGATCTTGGAGGGGGTAAGCATGTATATATATATACACATAGAAATATACACATGTGTTAAACTGTCAACCTATAAATATTTGCCCAGTACTTCTAAGACGTTAGTAAACTATGTCTTTCCGGAAAGTCGGTGTTTCCCTCAAAAGACCATGTTTACCCGTGAAATGGGCGTGAACGGGGAAATCGTGCGTTGGAGCCTCTTTTTGTTTGAGTTGGGCTCAGAGTTTCATGTACTATGATCGGCCGAGTTGCATGCACGCATATGACATCATCATGTAGCATGCACATGCATGCAGGCATGCATGCCATGCAAGAACTTGTCTGGGTGGTTCATTCGATCGATTCGTCATACGCCATGTGTCGACATGGTGCTGGCCTACATGATGCAGATCGATATGCGCCAGCGTCTGAGCATTTGCACGCATGCATGCATATGTCCTGCATGCAAGCTAGCAAGAAGTTGGCATGCGTCACTGCTGGTAAGGCTGCATCATTGTCAATGAAGAAGGCATTGCGGAAACGCCGGGCACTTGGGGAGTTGTGCGTGCAAGGAGTGGCAAAAGTAAATCGTGTACGGGTTTCCCTATGTTTTACTTTACGGTCCCTGCTGCACGCATGCACCGGCCCGAGGCGTTTTGGATGCGGACCAGCCGTTCAAGTTCTGCGAAGGTGCCACCGCCTTGCCCTATGTCGATCGGTTTTGTTTTGGGGGGGACTAATTCAGAATTGTGAGATCCCTAAAAAAGTCACACCCGTTGCTGCATCGACACATGAGCTAGTACATACGTGCATGCATGCACGCGGCCATGATTTGATTTTGTCACACACATCATGCATGCTTGATGCATCAACGATGGCTCACCCGGGCCATTTAAGAATTCGATGCATGCATGTGGATAATCACGGAGACTCAAGATCTAATAAGATCGATCGATCGAGCTAGGTCAGATCGAGATAGACATGACATATTTCAACTCTGCAATACTCTGCAGTATCTAGATCGACATCGTCGACACATCGGCCGGCCGGCACGGCCCTTTTTCCGCAATGCCGCGAGTGAAGCCATGCCTGCGCCGCATCGAGTTGCTCCAGGCACGACTCAATTCGATCCATGGTACGTACGTCTGACATTCGTGCATGCACACGCTATACACGTTACATGTTTTTGCATGCAACTGACCCCCGAAGTGAAAATAAGAAGGATCGAGTTTTGATCGTGGCACAGGATGGGTTAAGCCTGAAAACGTGAACCCAACGCGATGGTTTTCAAGACCAAAGGGCAACCTACCTGAGGAAGGGGACCCTCTTGCTTGGCTTCATGTTCAAACAGCTCGGTTCGGATTCGGGCAGGAGTTCTACATGAACAGGCTCAACGAAGACTGCTTCAGGGAGAAGAGATTCTATGCCCTAGGCCGGCAAGCTGGATTGGCAGACAGCCGCATCAAACGGCTGCTTTCGGAAAATCGGGTATCTCAGTTGAACGAATCCCATATTAAGCATGCGTTGCAATTTGTGTCATGAGCCTTTTTTTTCCATGTGAAACAGTGTGGTCATGGCTTGTGTGTGCACGTGTGCGAGTCTGGGTTCCGGTTAGATCATGTCCTAGGTACCGTGCTCATTTTCCTTTGTCAACATCGCGACTGACAAGATTGGAGAAGCAGAGGCGCAAGCAGTCTAGTCGGCGTGCGTGCATGCTTGATAAGCTGCGAGATTTTGCGGATCTTTCGATCTCCGCATTCAGCATCGTGCGTGCGTGCGCAGGTGGAGGACGAGGGCAATTTTGAATGGAGCCAGAAATGGCTCAAATCTTTCGCTGCAGATGTCCCGACCGAAAATGAGTGCAAGGCGTGTCAGTTTTGTGGATCGTTGTTTGAATGCGCTATGTATTACCCTGCAAAGCGCGTTCGCTTGCGTGCTGGGCAGGCTGCATTGATCGCGGTCGGCCTTGATCAACGCCTGGTGAACGCAACCAGCAAGAACGACCCGATGTTGGTGGACCGCTTTGCATTTTTTTCTGTTCGATCAATGTACTAGCTTGAATTCGAAAATGTGTTTGCGCTTCAGACATTCTTTGCGTTCATGAATGCTGTCGATAGCGAGTCGCGCAGGAGTGGGCAACGACGGAGGGTAACCTCCACCGTGCCCTGGCGAGCTACATCGTGACGCGGGTTGGGCGAACCTTGAACACCAGGAGCCCATGAGCATTGTGCTGTCTCTAGAGCCTGCATGCATGCATGCGTGATTCTGGAGGAGTGGTCACTCGCGCATGGCGGAGCTCAAGCAGTTGGTGGTTCAGGTCTTTAAGGAGTGCGCTATGGCTATATCAAATGCAATGGGTTATGTACGATGTGGCGCTGAGCACTGCATGCTGCATGCAAGCACGCACGCGCGCAGGAGAATGGAATCCTGAGAAGGAGCAAGTCCATCAGGAAGCCAATCGTGATTGCAGGCTGGTAGTAGTACGGCGCATGTGGCGACATTCATGCAAATTTATTTCAAGCGTGCGTGCGGTGTTCATCGTGGCTTGAGCCCATGAAATTGCATTGCATGTTGAAACGCTAACGCGCTTCCCGGTGGCAGGTGAGGAGGAGAATGCTTCGGAAGAAATTGAGGAAATTGAGGAGGTAATAATTGAAGAGGAGGAGGAGGAAGAATGTTTTTCCGATGATGGGGTGGTTGAACCTGTGCCCCAGACACCGCAAGCCAGCAGCCCAGCCCTCGACACGCACGAGCCAGTTGCTGCAACAACACAACCTGCGATGCAGCCCACCGCGCATGATGAGCCTCCCAGCCATAGCGAAGCGGCCCCGAACGAAGTGCGTTTGCCTGCCCATGCAGACCCCGAGCCTGTGCAGTTGTTGCCACCCCGTGACCCTGCTGATTCGCACGCGCCCATGCCCACGCAGGAAACGGAGCCTAGCCAGCCAGCAAGCCAATTTACTGAGAATGAGATTCAGCTTCTGCGAGGGACTACGTTAAGCCTTGGCGACGAGTGGAACGCAGAGCTTGAAGAGGTGAGAAAAAACAGAACTGTGGGCCCAGAACTGGAGACCGTTCCCAATGCAACTCATCTGCCAGCCAGCCTTGAAACCCCTACGCGCTGGAGTGGGTGGGAAAAGTATAAAGTTCAATGGCCAAAGCCGGCCGAGGCAACACCGTCATCATCAGGAATCAGATGCCCTGATGATGACGAGACTCAAAATCACAGCGACCAAGATGAGCCATCAACGACAAAGGGAACTTTCAAGGAGCCTTGCACGCTAATGCTGTGTGCACGTGCGCGCGTTGTGCACTATTATGACGCTTATGTGCACGCATGCACATGTGCTGTGATGTGTTGTGTGTGCGCACCTGCCCCAGGATCGCAAGCCTTTAATTGCTGAAGTTCCAGAACTCCCGGCGGACACCAACGAGGAGGACCTTGAAGGTTTTGAACACATCCTTCAGGCGCCCGTTGCAATTCTCTTTGAACCAAGTGGAACCGAAAAATGTCATTGAACAATGTCTTCGAAATGCCGGCTGTTGCATGGATCAGCAAGCGTCAGTTGACGTGTGTGCGGGGTCATTCATAATCTCTATCCTATAAACCTGACAGGCGCAAAAGACTATGCGGG